TAGCCAGAATTAGAGAAATCGATAACGCCTTGGGGTTAATGGCGCCACACTACGCGTTACACCACACCTGATTGTGTTACGTAACCCTGCTGAATCAAATGTAAATTGGATAAAACACTGAGAATAGTAGTGAACTACGCAGACATATATATATATATATATATATATATATATGTATATGCAGATATAGAACTAGATTTTCACCTATTCTATTGCTTGCAATACTCATTGAAATTCACCTGAGAAATAGGAAACCGATTTAGATTTGTTCGGTATTTGAAGCGATTCATAACAGCCCAATGCGTTTTCAGCCGTTTTGAGATTTCATCCGAATTCTGTCGTATTTTTTTGACAACAAAGGTGCATTTGTCTCTCAAGAGTATGGCCAATGGGTGGATGAAATCATGCAGCTATTTAAAGCCGTTTTTCATTAGTTAAACTGTCTACTAAACGAGCCTATGAGAGATAAAGATGTCTCACACGTTCCCATTGCCATAAAAACAGAAAATAACATAAACATTGAGTCAAAGTTGTTCCAATTCAGTTCTTGTTGTTGTTGTTGTTGTCCGGCCAAGCCGGGATGGAGGATGCTCACCTCAGACAGCTCAATCCGATTGTCCGCGTTCTCGTCGAACGTGTCCATAAATTCTTTCTTCATCAATTCCAGGTCTTCTTGCGGTATTGTCTGAATTGCCGAATCGCGTTCGCCGGTCGTACACCCAGGGAGAAGAAGCATCAAAGAATAACACAATTGGGACGAGGAGATTGATGTACACATAAAACATACAATTAGATTGGAACACGAAAACCCTCCCGCCTCCCGTAGCACGCGTAAAAGGCGCGTGAACCGATCAAATTTGTGGCTTCAGAACAGAACGAACAGCCAAAGGGGAGCCATTCTCAAGACACACATTCATCACGATGCAACCCAGTGTTTGAAAGGTAAATAAATGGCTTCTGGAATGCAATAACAAAACTCTCTGATCGGATTTAAAATCACCTATTGTTCTGAACAAAAAATAACTGATCATTCGTTTCCCGGAATCCCGGGGAGAGTCGGTTCCTGACATTGTTTTCGCAAACGTCTTTTGTTTTTATATGCATAAATCACCAATGAACCGTCTTCTATCGTCCGTTACTGAAGGTTGGTTGATTCAGTCCTGGACGTTCATACCATGATTTTACTGCAAATATGCTTCAGAGAAACAGATTTTCGAGCACTCTACAATCCGAATATGAAAGTTTAGTTAAACTAATTTTCAAAAGTATTGGTCGAAACGGCGTTGCCGGACGGTACAGTTGAATAACATCAACGTTACACTCTTTCCCCACAAGTCAATAGCCCTGTATACAGCCTCAATCCATTAGCGTTGTTTATTCCTTTCATACAACAGCCATACGGAACCCATATCTGAATAAACATACTACCGTTTACGTTGCAAGGTATTCCGAGTACACCCCAAAACGGACATTTGCTTTTCTCTAAAGACCTAATGAGCAACTTGTCAGCAGTCAGCATGGGGTATTCAAAACATACACTACTGAAATACTTTAGTGTTTTTTCCAAGCATTACGTCATACACGACCTCAGTGAAATCATGATTAATCAATGAATGTGATTGGGGAGATAAAAAGAATCCACCATGTTGCCAAAGTCGAACCGATTCAAGTCACCGTTGGAGATTGAAGCCCATAAGCTGCTATGAATCAAAGAGGCGGTGTTCAGTCGAGGCCTAATCTTCTTGAACATGAGATATTTGTGTTGAACTGCATTTGCAATGAGTAATTGCCAAGGCACTTCACGGTACACCAATCATCAATTGAGCGAATGTTTTCCGAAACAATTTTACGCTTTCCCCACATACGCTTCTCACTTCTGACGATTTCGGTAACCACAATTTGGAAAGTGATTGTGAAAAATCTACTCTTCGCGTTGGCCACGTTATTTGGTGTGTATTGATCTGAATTCATTTCATTTGAGTACCATCTTCCGGAGCACATGGCACATCGTTAACTATCAGAAAAAAATTTGTTTCCAGTTTACACGCCCACCACCCTAAGCTTTGTTTGGTAACCCGGAAACTGTGGTATATAAATGATCAGATTGTTTTTCTAAGCAACTATAAACGATCATGTTTGTTCCGCTTTTCCTCTTCTGCCCTGGAGAATAATTTATAATTGTTCACATAGTTGTTTGGCAGATTTGAAGTTTGTATGTCGATTGTGAAAAGTTCAGTAGCCACGGTGGGATTCGAACCCACGCATGGACGCCGCCTACGCTTTGTACGCGCATGCTCCACCAACTCAGTGAGCTACTAGGCCACACAGATAGCACTGATCTGTTTCACATTCGAATTTACCAATCCAACTTACAGAGGCATGTGACATCCACCAACTTGCATGTAAGCTGACTGCCCCGACAGGTTTTCCTTAGAATTCACCGGACTCCACCGAATGNAATGAGCTTCTAAGACGCGCATGCGCGTACATAGCGTAGACGGCGTCCATGCGTGGGTTCGAGTCCCACCGAGGCTACTAAAATTTTCACAATCGACCTACAAATAATTTATAACACACGTTACAGATCAACTATTCGCGTCTCTGTGTGTTTTCCTTCGGAAAACTGGAAAGTGTGTGACGTTCATTAGGTCAAGATGTTGGGACTTCATTCTATCATGTCACGACATTCATTTGATTAAAATCCAGGATGAGTTTAATAGCAATCTCTAATTTGCGTTTGTTAAGGGTGGTTCAAACTATTTTGATAAATGCAGTACAAGAGGATACATATTATGTACCGACAGAAGTAAAACAGTGTAGGATTTCATTATGGTGATACCCATAATTGATGCACAATACAGTGTTTCGTCCTGTTCGGAACACGTCAGCAATTCTTAATTTATTTTACCCTGTCAGAACTTGCACCGCGAAACTTCGGGCTCGGACTTCAAACCCCTACCGTTTTGTGTGAGTGTTTCAAGTCATTAGGAGCAATTCGGAATGATCCATTCAATTGTTCACAGGTACTACGCATCATTGATGGTCTCGGGAGTGAGTTTCACTCCCTTGAAGATTATAAGTCCACACAAGTTGAGTGCAATTTTAAGCCGTGGGAATATCTGTGACCATCAATTGGATTGTTACACGTATGACACGATTAGCCCCTGTATTATGCTCATTTAATCCTCATTTAAATAATGCGTGCCTAAAGAGCTCCATTGTCATCGAGTCTGATTTCTTTAGCCGTCTGAATAACGTTGAACCATTAGCGGCAACAGATGTACAATTTGATTTCCCGTTTACGTTAGATCTAAAGAGATGATACCTGATGAATTTCGTTGATATGAAATAAATTTAGTCGACCCATAATCGTTCCCGTTTCAAACTCATGGTGAATGAGGGCTGACACAATGAAACCATGGCAATGATCAAACAGGTCACTTGTAATTACTGTCCATTTATCTACAATTTCATCTCAGTAGACAAACATTACGTTGTGGAGCAATTTTGCGAACAACTTGCGAAACGGCCTACAAAGAAAAGAATAACATTATCCCGATTTTGGACAATAATTTAAACTGGTATATTGCGTTATTCTGGTCAGCCATTTTTTGTTCCGGACAAATGCGGGGTAACAAAAATCAATGTGGATAAATAAAGTTTTCACAGCCTGAAATCATTTTCACATTATCCATCATGTTTTTCGCTGCACATAAAAGAGTTACTGTTTGACTGCAACACATTCATAAATATTACGGTTGATGAGGTTTAATCTACTTTTTTTTTTACCAAAAAATGTTAAACTAACAGATATTAATGTTTTTCAGATATATAAGGTTATTTATTAGCAAGTTTTTACATTTTTTGTAGTTTATTTGTGATATCCATTGTTAGCTGCAATGTTTATCAGTCGTTATTCAGTTTTGAACTGTGAATTGTAGAATTAAATTGAAATTGTGGTGAGGCGTGTCACGCTCAATTATATCTAGCTCACACTATACGAAACCGAAATACATAGAGGACGGATTAGAAAAAGGGAACACATGTTGAACAACCAGCCTTGTCGTTAACTATAAAGACGTATATTTCGACACGGGTGTGGTAAACTTCCTGGCGAGTAACACGAGATATGTGCCATGCATAAGCTTTCTTTCTTTGTTTGAATCTATTTATTGTTTTCATATTAGCCCTGCGAAGATCACTGTTATGTTAACGTAAAAAGTAGGCTTAAAATAAGCAATAATTTTTCAGGACGAGTTAGAGATAACACAATGCTGGACGAACTGGTTATCACGGGTAACAGATAGGGAATATATCTTCCAAAGACTTCATTAACATCAAAATGGATGTAGATGTGTACGCAGATATATTGGAATGTTTGATAATCAGCGACTGAGAGAGACTACATCGGTTTTACTTACATCTGTGCCCAGTTCTTCAGAGAATACACTGGAAACAAACTCGCGCAGGAAATTGTCCAGCTCACTGCCCTCGATATATCCATTCCCTGCAGAGACAGAAGATGGAATGGGACACGTTTTACACAGAAAAATTGGGATTTATTTTATGAATTTTTTTCAAATAATTCCGAATGACGTAAAAATGTGTGTGCGTTTCCTAGCATCAACCATTTATCTACTCGTCCGATCAAGATCGCGTGCGATCATTAATTGCATTACTTTGTGGAGTGGAAACGGATGCAATGTTGGACTCAACTGCCCTAGGGTTATTTTACGTGACTTTTCACGTCTGGACGTAATCTGTCCAAAGCGCACACACTACTGATTGAAAACACTTACAATTCGGAACGTTAAAGTAACGGGTGTAGGCTTTCACACAATTCCTTCACATCATCTGATCGCCAATCATAGATTATCAGAAGTCAATCTAAATAACGAGTGACTGAATGGTGTTAGGGAAGAACTTCAGCCATTCTAGCATCCGCGTTTGTATGAGTTTTTATTCTGCTCGGCGTTTCGGAACTTCAAAAACATATCTGATCTATCAGATCCCATCCGAATGATTGAGTAGAGATAATAGCGAAATGCATTTTACGTCCTAGTTCATTTTGAATGAATGTTCGGTTCCCGAAGACAAGTTCTTATCCTGTGACGAGCAATGCGTCTCTTTTTTCGTTTGGCTTTTTGTGCACAATGCAAGGGTCGTATATGAGGAGTTTTGAAACAGCATGGTAATCTATTTATACTGCTATAGTGTTATTCACTTGTTCGCTGGCCCATCTTCGTTTTATTCGTCTGCGAATGTGGTCCTTAGTGACTTCAATGTATAAACATCAATCGTAAATAGAATCGACAACGTACTAATAACCAATCAACTATATCCCTAGGACACAAAGTAAGTTATAATTCAATTATCAAGGTGACACGTACGGAATTGCTGTATGTTTATGGCAGTCCAAATTGGGCTATGTTGTCATGATTAGGGTCATTCGTTTTTTTCAGTTTCCAATAGATCGATCCAAATGTTTCACAATTATAGTTTGCAAAACTGAAAACGTTGTAGCGTTTTGTATTGCACTTGAGTTGCTTGAATAAAAAGTGCTCTGCAAAAGTCCTGGTCCTATTGAGTAAGTACTATCTGGAGTTCTTTCTTGCAGCATTAATTCACGTTAGAAAGCGGTTCCGTCTAATTCGGAAGTGAATGAGGTCAGTTCGTCGTCACAGGACTATTGATTGTCCCCCTGTGACGAGCCTTCTGACTTTCAATTCTTCTCCA